AGCATCGTGTCGAAGTTATAGAATTTAATCTGCCCGGGGACGGTGTAGGCGAAGGACAACAGTGAACTTAGACCAAATGTTGCACTGAACCATAAAAAGGAGTAATAAGTTAATTACTGATACCGCACTGATGTTATGAGTTCCTTTTTTAATTAATGACAGATTATTAACGTGGGTAAGGTTGGCTGCTCGTTTTATTGCACTGTTTTATTATTATTATTAATACTTGGACAAAGCCTCTTTTCTCGATGACTGGATATATTACAGATGAGGGTGATTGTTGACTTATACCCCATAGGTGAATGATGTTGTGTAGTTATGAAAGTGTTGAAATCAAATGTAGCTTTAAATGGAATAACAGTATTTTTTCCAAATATTTAAGACATCGAAAAGGGGGTTTAATCGTGTCAAGCTGATCACGTGATATTCTAAATCACAACATTTCTGCTAGTAGGTAATATTTGTAAAAATTTATTATAAAGTAACATGAGCCGCGTTGCTAGCATATAGTCTCAGTATTTGATGCTGTATTTAGTAAAACAAAACCCCAATATTCGCGTTTTAAGACTATTGATGATTTCCATAGGATTTGGTTTATTGCTATAGTATGTTCAACCATTTCTTGAAGTTTTTCATTATGTATGATTATGCTTCGTTTTCTAATAAAGATTTTCATATGAACAAATAATTTCGGAGTTAGGAGGTACAGGGTTGCCCATATTCGACGGTACAGGGTTGCCCATATTGTTCCCGTACAAATTTCAATTGACGCAAAGAATGTTGCCTGCGGACAAGCCTTGTCGATTGGAATGGGCCCAAAGAGTCATCGAAATGGCCGAAGATGACGAGCAATTTTGGAACAAAATTTTCCTGTCCGATGAAGCCCATTTCACATTGAATGGGACCGTAAATAAGCAAAATTGCCGTTTTTACGCCACTGAAAATCCTCAGTAGATTCAAGAAGTGCCTCTTCATGACGAAAAAGTCACAGTTTGGTGCGGCGTTAGTGCGAAAACGGTCATTGGGCCGTTTTTCTTCCAAAATGAAAATGGCCATGCTGTTACCATCAATCAGGAGCGTTATCGCGACATGATGACCAATTTTGTGATGCCAATTATTCGTCGAAAGCGTATGAGGCAGTTCTGGTTTCAACAAGACGGCGCTCCACCGCACACAATTCGCATAACAATCGATTTTCTGAAGAATTTGTTTCCGGGCCGTTTGATGTCGAAAAGTGGTGATTTGGACTGGCCACCGCGTTCGCCCGATTTGAGGCCGCCTGACTTCTTCTTGTGGGGATATTTGAAGTCAAAGGTTTACGTTAACAAGCGAAGGACCGTAGAAGAGCTCAAGGATAACATTCGTGAAGAAATAGCCGCTATTCCGGCCGAAATGTTTGCAAAAACGATGGAAAATGCAGCAAAAAGGGCACAATACGTCATCAACGCCAGAGGCGACCATTTGAGAGATATCATATTCAAAAATTTATGTAAACAAATCTACTTGGGACAAATTAAATGATTAACATTGCCAACCGCCAAATTTTTATTTTTTTCTTTGATTTTTAAAAAAAAAAACATGGGTCCGTCGAATATGGGCAAAATGTAGTTAATTCTAAATCAAGAGGTACCAGAAGCATTGGTTCAACTCATTCCGTTTTCAAACTTGATCTTATGTTAGTAGAAATATAGGTATGTACAAAGTTTGAAAGTGATCGGATGCTCATTTCACGTTCTTCATTTTGATCCTTATGGATGAGGTACTGGAAGGAGTGGTTCGTAATATTTCATCTTCACACCAGATCTTGTGTTACTAACAAAAGATTGAGAGATAATTTTGCGATTTGCGAAATTTAAAGAGTATCTGATGGTTATTTCGCTTTTTATAAGAGATACCATAGTATGGAGGGTATATTAAGTTTGTGATTCCGTTTGTAGCACCTCGAAATATACATTTTAGACCCCACAAAGTATATATATTCTTGGCCAGCATAAAATTCTATGTCGATTTAGCAATGTCCGTCCGTCTTCCGAACGAAATGAAGAAGGTTGATAAAATTATACTCAAATGTGTATTATGTCTGCAGGACTTTTGGTATTGAAAATGGGCCATGTAGGTCCACGTCTTCGTATAGCCCTCATATAACTATACCTCCCGATATGCGGTATTTTGATGATTTTAGCGACATTATTTACCGGAATTGTTTCAAAACTAGTATTTAAAGTTCGTAATAGATGCTACGGCTTAAGACAGAAAATGGATCATGTAGGCCCACGTCTTCGAATAGCCCCCATATAACGGTACCCCCGATATTCGGTATTTTGATGATTTTAGCGACATTATTTACCGGAATGGTTTCAAATTTTGCATTTGAAGTTCGTAATGGATACTACAGCCTATGACAGAAAATTGTCTGTGCAGGTCCACATCTTTGTATAGCCCCCATATAACGGTACCAACCGATATTCGGTATTTTGATGATTTTAGCGACATTATTTACCGGAGTTTCAAATTTTGTATTTGAAGTTCGTAATGGGTACTACAGCCTGTGCCAGAAAATTGTCTGTGTAGTTCCACGTTTTTTAACCCCCATGATCAGCCCTATACCGGAAGGTGTGCTCCGGAATATTCCATATTCACACCAGATCTTGTGTTAGTTTGAATATAATCGTAAGCCTTTTTCGCATTTTATGAGACCAATAATTATTTAAAATTGTTACCCTTTTTTGGGGAGGTAAAAGAAGCAGTGGGTCAATATTGTCCATTTTAGCATCCAACATAACAAGTTTAAACAAAATTGAATGGTTCTTTTTTTGTCGTATACGATACATTATTTAATGTGAAAATATTGACCCTTTGACCCCTAGAATGGACGATATTTCCTATCCCCATTCTCGATCTAACTTATAACAATAGTATTACGATGTACCAATTTTGGAACAAATCAGATACTCCCTTCGAGAGTCATCGTGCGCACCAGCCTGAGAGACAGACGGACAACCCTATATCTATTCTATGCTATTCTATTCTAGTCTATTCTATTCTATACTTCTAAAGTATACAGGGTGAGATGAAAAAACTATCCCGACGTCAAGGAAGTGGACGGAACAAAACAGCAACATCAGCAGAAATTGTTCGAAAGGTAAAGAAGCGACTTGATAGAAACCCGCGTCGCAGTGGCCGAAAAATGGCTCGTTAGCTTAGTTCAAATATTGAAAAGTATGGGTCTATCTCGCTTCCTTCTTCATGTTACAAACAAATGCACAAAGACATAATACCCCTACAACTATGTTGTGTAGGGTATAAAAACAAACACAAGACCAAACCATCATGCTACAATATGCTAGGTCTATTTGGTCGATCTATGTACGTCCGTCCGTCTGTCTGTCTTTCTGTCTGTCTGCTGGTTGGTGTACACGATAACTCACGAAGGGAGTATCCGATTTGGTCTAAACTTGGTATATCGTAATATTATTATCAAACATAGATCGAGTGCGGGGTTGGGCAATATCTGTCCACTCTTCCCCACAAAAGGCCAACATTTGGACAGAAAAATTTTTAATCACAGAACAAGAAATGATCATCCGATTTTGTTCAACCTTTGCAAATCCTAGTATTTGTATCTGTGCTAGATTAGATGCGAAAATGGACAATATGGGGTCCAAATTTTGAATAACCTCTAACAACTCTAGATTTGGTATGTAGATGGGATAGGTCGGACCACTCCCTCTGGTACGTCCCCCATAATGGGTAAAAAATTTGAATAACCATGAGGCTTTTAAAACACCAAGGTGGTCAGGATATTATGTCTTTGTGCATTTGTTTGTAACAGGCAAAAAGAAACGAGATAGACCCATAGTTCCTTTGATGATCTGCGTAGAATTCAAATTATGAGTCGATTTATGTATGTCCGTCCGTCCGTCCATCCCTCTGTCTGTCTGCCTGTCCATATATTTTTGTAAAGAAAGTACAGGTCGCATTTAATGCCCAATTCAGATGAAATTTTGCACAAATAATTTGTTTAACCCAAGGACAAACCCTATTGAAATTGGAGATAATCGGTCAAAATTCAGGTATAGCTCCTATATATATTTTCGTCCAATTTGCCTTATATTGTGCACCAAACTTATATCAGCCCAAATAGTATGGAATTTTGCACGACCAGATTTGACCTGAAAATAAGTATGCCTTAAGAATGCCTTTGCCAAATTTTATCGAGGTCGATTCAGATTTAGATATAGCTCTCATATATATTTATCCGATTTCAAGTTAATTGTGCACCAAATGGATAATACAAGCCCGAATTGAAAAGGCGCAAATTCCTTTGGACTTTTAATTATTACTATAATCATAGCTGGTTTGATTTAATTCTCACAAATTCCCCACTAAAACTTTTATTTCTTATGTGAAGCTCTACTAAATATGCAAAGTGGTGTACGGTATCATAAATTCGTCCCCGCCCGACTTTAAGGCTTTCTTTACTGCTTGAATAGTAATAACTCGCATTGAGTGCCAAAAAAAGCACCCGATTCTCTTTAAATTTCACACATCCCAATTTTTTTACTAACGCAAGATCTGGTGGGAAGATCTCTTAAATATTTCTTTCTGCCAGAGATCTGATGTGAATGTGAAATTTATCTTCCCACATCTTCTCGTATCTCCCATAAAAGTTTAACATTTTGATTAACAATTACCATCATAATAATTATTCAACTTTATTTCTTCCGAACTATCCCAATCAAGGATCAAGAGTTTGAATAATCATAACGCAAGTCACATCCGACCGATACTTTTTAGCTTGTTTTTTCTTATATTTTGTCCTCAAGAAAACTTTTCTAGAAATGATCCCTCCCTATTTCCCATCTCGAGACGATCCGATTAAAATGTCGTCTCTAGCATGGTAGAGAGCTCACATAAAATTCTGAGTATTATTTTAATCAGCCTCGAAGTTATGGAATAAGATTCTTTGTCAATCCTTTCTCAATTAAAAAAAAATGGCATTTTCCAGTTAATTCAGTTTTCTTTTATTCAAATAAAGTTCACCTTACAGCTAAGAGTTAGTTATTTAATAATTTAGATAAACTTGGTTTAAAAATATGCATATTTTTTGGAGTTAAACATTTTGTTTGCTATATAAATATATATATAAGTGTGTGTATATGTAGGAGTGTATATCATACTTAATATGTAATCAGTTTCATTCGTTTTTAACCATAAATATATAAATACCTAGATTTCATAAGATAAATATAAATAATTGTTTGTTTAAGAATAGCTTAAATCTAGTTGCACTTAAAGCTAGGCGATTTTCTTCACAAATAAAAGTTATTGCTTCGCTTTTTCACTGTTAACAAAAATGTTGTAGTTATTGTTATTACTTTTCCATTGTTATTGTTAGTTTTTGATGATGTTCACGTGAACTTATTTGTAAAGTTTTATTTTGTTTAGAAAAAGAAAACACAAATAATTAGATGTGTGGATTGTACTTTAGACTTTGTATTCACTTTCATATATATCATGTTGCTATAAATGTGAAAGTATTTACAGTAGCATCTGTGTGAGTATGTGTTTATACATAATAATACATGGTAAGAACTATATACTTATACATAGAAACTTGTTTTGTTTTTTTTTCGTTCTTAACTATTATTATAGATTTAAAATTTACATCCTTTCGAAAGAATTTATAGTCCTAAGCATATTTGGTACATAAATCATATTTTATGTCATAAAAGATATGTCGTAAAATTTTGAAATTTAAATGTTTTACATCGAATGACATGGGCACGATATTATCGTATGCCGAAAGTCATCAATTTTGGTTTAGCGTTTGAAAAGAAAAATCTTTTATTTTTCAATTTCAAAGAGATAAGGAGGCAGGCCTTTGCCAAAAATGGTAGGAAAGAAATAAAAACAGCAGCAGCAGCAAAGAAGCAGTCTAGCCAAAGGCCATGATTAAATGATGCCAATACGTATTATTTTATTGCATGCACATTGGCCATGCCAACTTGACCAAATTACCGGTCTGTCTGGTTGCAACCTCTTTGCTACTGGCTGCAAAACAAAAATGTGTGTATATTGGAAGTCAATAACGAAGCACAGTGTTTTCAAATCGTAAATGACCTGGAGTTTATGAAGAAGAAACCTCTACAAATCGTCTCTAATCTTATACAAACAAACTTCAATTTTGCAAAAAATTAAACTATCCACTGAGAACTCAAAATATAATAGCTGATTTTGTTGGGAATTGGGACCTTGTGTTTTATGGGGGGCTATACATAAATGTGGACCAATAAGAAACATCTAAAGAATACTACAAACGTTCATTCATGTATCTTAGAACTGTAACTAGTATCTTTTTTCAGCAGATGGGATAGACTTCATTAAATCGGTTTAAAATTGTTGTGGTGTTCATCAATTCATGTACTACACGGGGTCTCATGCAAGCAGTTCGAGGTATACGTAACCGGTTCACAGTTGCACTCCATCTTATTGTGGAGCTTTTTTCAAAATGTAGACCGTTTGTTGGGAAGGTAACGGACGCTGTCAGCAGATATTGTAAATCTTCGCACCACACCAAAATATTGGAAGTAATGGAGGATCGAACTTATTTTATGGGTAAGGTACCAAAAAGAGTGGACCGATATGACCCATCTTCAGGTGCCACAGATATAATCCCCATTATCATAACCCCCATAATGGAGTGGGGATTATGTCCAAAATAATCGGTCGTAATCCCTAGAAAGTAGCAGACATAATCCCCAAAATAATGATGTAGGTATTTTTAACCTGATTACGGCAAAGTAATTTTTTCGAGTGGGAAATACCCGGTTATTCGACTCGAAAATGCGGATTCCGGGTTTTATCCGTTTTTACAAAACTGATATGCACACAATTTTTCCATGTATCTTTTAGAGCTTTTAAAATTAGCCAGACTTCGGCCGGGACTGAGATTTTAAGATGTTCAACACCGGATACACAATCCATAGTTTTCTCCAAACTTTGTAACTTTTGTAAGTAGACAACCTTCGATTTTAAAGCCAATATCTTCGGAACTTCAAGAGATATCACCACATATGGCACCATTTTGGAAGAGCAAGAGGCTATAATGTAGTATATATACCTTAATACCCCAAAGGGGTCATTTTCGACTTTTCAAAAAGCTTCGATACAAAAATACAAAATTTTATGTATTGATCTCGAACCGGTTCAAACAACCATCATATGATCTCTTGTTGGATAGGTATTTTCATAAGCTTCCAAATGATACCAATTTGAATAAATCCAGTATTTGTATCCGAGTTTTCGGGTGGAAAACCGGGTTTCAAGTCAATCGTGGCATAGCCCATAACTCAACAAACCTTGTTATACCTTCCACCTTGGAAAGGAGGGTATATTAACTTTGTCATTCCGTTTGTAACATCCTTAAATATTCGTCGTAGACCCCATAAATTAATCAGAATAAAATTCTTATCATAATCAGAATAAAATTCTAAGTCGATTTAACGATGGCCGTCTGTCTGTCTGTCTGCCTGTCTGTCTGTTGAAATCACGATACAGCCCACATTATTTGACGTAGAGCGCCAAAATTTAGCAGAGCAATTTGTATTGTGTCTAGGATGGTTGGTATTGAAAATGAGATATATCGGTCCACGTTCTGGTATAGTCCCCATATAACGGTACCCATATAACGGTACCACATTTTTTCACGAATTTGTCTGAAAATTGGTACTTGTAGGTCATAATGGGTCCCTGTGCGTGTGGTAAAACATTACATATAGTCCCCATATAACGGTACCTCCCAATATTCGGCATTTTGATGATCTTTAACACATTTTTTCAAGAATTACTCTGAAAATTGGTAGTTGTAGATCATGACCCATGTTCGTGTGGTGAGTCATTGTAATTACTCTGAAAATTGGTAGTTGTAGATCATGACCCATGTTCGTGTGGTGAGTCATTGTAATTATAGGTCCACGTTTTGGTATAGCCCCCATATAACTGTACCTCCCGACATTCGGTAATTTGATGATTTTTGCCACATTTTTTCACGGATTTGTCTGAAAATTGGTAATCATAATGGGTTCTAGCTCCGTTGGCGAAACATTGTATGTATAGTTCCATGATTTGATATAGCCCCATATAACGGTACTTCCCGATATTCGGTATTTTGATGGTTTTTGCCACATTTCTTCTAATGTTTCCTTTACCCTAAAGTGGAGGGTATTAAAAGTTTGGCCCGGCCGAACTTATTGTTTTTTTTACTTGTTTTCTTTCTGGGGATTATGTCCGAACATTTTTCAATGGTCATCCCCCAGGAGGAATAATTTCAATGGAGATTATGACCGGGGATGTGGAACTAAGATGAGAATTTTTTATAATTTTATGAGAGAATAACTGAAAAAGATATTTTTGCATTTCCATAGTGTAACTATATCGAATTTCGAGAACCTTATTAAAATACGGGATAGTTACACTGAACGCTTTGGACGAAATCGTTTTAAAGATATTTGGAACTGATCTAGAAATATCATTTTATTCGTCCGTCTGCAACGCTTGTTGCAATATCAGTATGCATTTTTTCGCTTTCCAATATAGAAAATGTTGCTCTATTCCTTAATATTTGTTAAATCAGAAGACCTCCGAAATACTCGCCCGAAGTAGAGAGAGAGAAAGAGAGAGAGAGTGAAAATCACTAGCATATTAAAAGATTCTACTCTTTCAGAGTACTCTTTTTAGTTTTTGCCAAACATGTTGAAGAGCATTGCCGCCAATCTGTACCAACAAACTACCACGAGCATACAAAAATCCATCTGATCCTTGTATCTGCAGTTTGCTGTTACTCCCAGATACAAATTAGCAACTAAAATACCACTCGATTTCACTCTTAGAGTAAACTTGTACTTTATTTCATGCGTGACCACTCTCATTCAATTTTCTCAAACAGGAGCAAGTCTGAAGCTCTCACACCCTAACAAACATGTAGAAAGTAAACTTCGTATAAAATTCGTACTCTTATGACATTCCTGCTCGCGAGTAATTTTCACTCCCGTGTATAACAAGTAAATCTGTGTTCTAAAAATCAGTGCCTGATTTTCCTGAAATATATTTTCTCTTTTCTTTCCACAAAAGGCCAAATCCTGCAGTTCCGAATTTAACACGTTTTAATATGTTTGACAAATGGTGACCAGGTGACCATTTGACCATTTTTTAAGATCTTCCTGGCGACGAAAAGAGTTGTTTTTATTTTTTTTTCTAAATTTTAAAATTTTTGTTCTAGAATTTTGGTGTTTTTAGAAATATTTTTTAAGAAGTAAGCGGAAATTTACTAGCGTCTATAAACAAGGAATTCCTAAACAAAGTTCGTAGATTTTAAAAAAGAGCTTCCTACCTGAACATCTTGGAATTTAAAATGACTTATTTATCTGTGTCAAAGGCTTAAAAATCATCGTATAACTACGGTTGAAACGGTTGGACCAAACCTTTGATTGAAAGAAAGTCTTAAGTGGTTAACGGACTTGCAAATATTTCTGATTTACTGTGGGGCGTCTAGGAGATCTGTATGGAATGGCAAATGTCTACAAATAAAATACGTCCCATTTAGGTTCACTGAGTAGGAAAATTGCATAAGTTAAATGACTTAATGAATGCGAGAAGGGAGAGAACTTCCTTCAAACATTTCAATTTTTTTTTTCATAATATTTAAATATTCTTCAACGAATCGAAGGAGTGAATTATTGGTTGATATTAAATCCCTATTGGGGATTGTAAAAATTATTTCAATATCGACTTTAGTACTTTTGTCCTACATTTTTGAAAGCACAGCTTACATATCTCTTATATATTATTTTAACATAGGCAATTTAATCCACAATTTTCAGTTTTTAATTCACTGTGCGGTAATGTATAAAATCAAACATCTAAACGCCAAATGCAAACTCCACGAAACCGATGAAGACAAAAACAAAAATCCTTAATTAATATGTAGCTGCTTCTAACAGCATAAATTATTTTGAAGAAGATGACGGTGGTGTTGGTGGTAGAAACGAAAACTAGTGGCGTTGGTATTGGCGACGGCGGTATCGATTTTGCCTTTGGCAGCATTAGCGCTAGAACAAAAGACGAAGAAAAGACAGGAGGAGGGAGACATTGATGTGTTTTTTGCATGGACACAATTGGCAGTTATGTTGTTGCCGACCAGTTATTGCAGCAGCATCGATGCTCACGCATTTGCCTTTGCTTGTAAATCACGAAATGATACAATTCTTGTCTTTGTCGTTCGCATCGGAAGTCTTGCGTTTGCGATCGTAGGCCAAGGCGTCGTTCGGCACATAACTGACGCGTACACCGCCATAATGACGTCGCTGTGGCAGTTGATACATCATATAATCCTCGGAACTGGACGAACTGGAAGAGCAGGTCGAGCACACACTGGACGCATCATCTGAATCGTCATCGTGTTGCCCGGTCGACATGGTAGTCTGCGATGAATGATGATGTCGGGTAGGATCTAATGTGGCTGATTGCAGAATGGAAGGTGGTCCTTGGTACGAAGATGAGAGCGGCTGTGTTGTGTTGTATGTGTCGGCTCGTGTTGTGGAATTGGAACGATGACCACTGCCGGAACGATGAGATTTTCGTCGTCTTCGTCGTCGTGAAGAGTGACCGCCATGTCGTTGCGTTGGCTCAGAACTGTTATCAGTGCTTCGATTGGTCCCGGCACCATTGCCCGAATAACTGCGAGATCGTGGCAATGTATCGGCGGGTATACCTTCGAATCGAACACCTTTGGCTTTTTTACTCTCCCCACCACCGCTCATAGGTGACGATGAGGATGCTCCACTCAAAATAGAAACTGGATGTATGGGCGGATTTGTACCCGACTGAGCTGACTGATGTGACACAATGGAACGTTCACCGGCCGAGGCTGTGGGCGATCCCATCAACTCTGGAGGAAGAGCTGTTGAGGCCACCGATAAATTTGGTGTTGGAAGATCAGGAACCTCCGAGGGCGGTGCAGAAGTTGCAGGATGTGCCTGCGTTTGTTGCAAGGGTTGTGAATATTCTGGACAATTTCCATATTGTTGAGTGATGGCATTTGGATTTTTAGGTAACGAAGAATTTGTTTGTATCGACAGCTCAGGCATACTGGAGGTTTTCGAATTTTCCACTTCGGATATTTGATGCAGCTGTCTTTGCAGGTTATAGCTAGTGGCTCCTGTCAATATGGGCTTATTGGGCCAGGTTGAATCCAGGTTGAGAGCCATTTCATTGAAATTATACGGCCCTTCACGTTTCAGTTCCATGGGCTTTGGCATCAAATGATTGAATTCTCCCGGCGATGTTAGGGGTGACATATTCTGGGAGGACGACGAGTTAATGCCTCCCGAAAAGTCGGTAAAATCACCTGCCGTATGCTCCATATCCTTGACCACACCCGCATCTGAATCCGAGGTGGGATAACTTTGCTTAGCACCATCCGACGAGGTGGATATGGCCACCAAACCCACATTGGATCCCCCGACAACATTCACACTGCTGCTATTCGAGATGCCAGCCGCTATTTGCTGACTTTGCAGCTGATACATGGCATTGTTGAAGTTTTGCTGATGCTGCTGTTGTTGCAAAGGTGACATTGGCGGCGAACTTGAGGCATGACTTGACGGAATACGCGTCTGAGGTCTTACTCGCTGAGTGGGTGGCGTGGGTGTGGTGTACATGCCGGTGCCCGAACTGTCCGACGGTGTCGGTGGCTCACCTTTACTGCAGGCTATGGAACAATAGATGGAGCCACGTCTGGGCAGAAATGCACGTCCCAGCAGTGAACAGCGACATGTGTTGCACGAGAAGCACTCGTCGGTGGCATGCCAATGCTGGCCGTCATGGCTCATTTGTCCTTGATCTACGCCAATAGCTTCGCCACAGTAATCACAGTATTCAGCGAACATCGCATCGAAACAGAGCAGACAATAGGGCTTGCCCTCACGCATAATGTACCTCTGGCCACCCAATTGCTTTTCGCACTCCTGACAGGCAAAGTGATTCATATGCCAGGCACGTCCTTCTGCTTCGGTGCACTCATCGGCCAGGATAATCTGTAAGACAGAGCAGGGAAAATGGAAAAAGTTTTGGTTATTCCGTTACATGACTAGTCGCATTTTCTTCTTTATGTCACTTAAAATCAAAAAGAAAACGAGTAAAAAGAAAAAGGAAAAACTTAAACTAACTTTCTTTTGCGGTGCATTGTTACCGGGGATGAAAAACTATTCATGACCAAAGGTGTTTGGGAGCATTGTGCTGGGCTAAAGTATTGGAATTTCTTCGAAGTTAAGTGCGTGCCATGGTCGTGAGCTGGCAAAAGTTTAGTGTCATTGCAAATTTTGATATGTATAAGCATGATTGAGACTTTTGAACTTGAAGGAATATTGATAACGCCAGGTGAAGGTAAGAGACTTTCAGAATGGTGGCATGTTTGAGTGGTCGTAGTGCTATTTGGTCATTATTTTCGCTAACAAAGTTGAAATGCGATAAGATCCATCACCTGAGAGTAAAAACTGAAAAGAACAAACACGGCGTTAAGACGACTCTGATTAGATATCAAAGAAAATATTAAATTATAGCCACTTCAGCTAAAAAAAATGGCTAGAAGTTTTTCAACTGCGAAACCGTACAAACAATTTACAAATTGGGTTTTAATTTTTTGCCGAAACTTGACAATATCGAATATATTGTACTACCGCTATATAATAGTGCACCTACATTTCATAAGTAATGATTAACTCATACATTTTTAAGATTTGGTTGCTAAGAGTAGACATATTTAGGCCTTGGTTTGGCAGACACGACCAAATTTAGCCCAGAAACTCGTATGGGAAATTTAGTCGGTTCAGATATAGCTTCCGATATGTGTTTCATTCAATATTGGTATATACACTCTGTTATTTCGCTTAAGTTATCAATAATACCTTGCAAAAATTTTCAGAACTAACACATGTTTTCTATAATTTAGTTGACAACTAGGTCATGTTTTAAGTACTAAGTCAGTACACGTTTTGACCCCTCTTTGGGTCTATCCACAACAAATTTGAAATAAACAACACCATTAGTTACAAAGATATTCAAAAGTCTCCAACAACTATTGACAGTCTGTTTCCCTTTTTTCTCCATTAGAGGATGTATACTCAGCTAGTATACAGGCTAATGTACCCTACGGCTGGTCAACGTCGTTTGAGAGAATTTTTTTTTCGGATCTGACCTTCGGTCTGAGAACAATAATTTTTACATGGATCTATATTCTCTAAATTTAAATCAAACTGCCTTACTACTTCTACATAGGACATGAACGGATGGGCAGTCGAATAGCATCGCCTTCATTGTAGCTGACTGATACTATCCTTAAAACGGTCGAGGGATATTATCGAAGCTGAGCTTAAACGATCCCGTTTTTTCATAGAGTCTTAATATGGTGTTTATTAGTCCGAGGGAGTTTGTCAGTTTCCTATAAAGCACATCTCTAGATAAGGGGCAGGGTGGATGATCACATTTGCCTATTTTTTAAAGTTGAAACATCCCACCTAATGAACTGATGTGTCCACACACCAGATTTTCCGCACACCTATATTGATTATGGGGATGGTGTCCCAAATAGAAAAACAAAACAGCAACCCAATAGTATAGCCGGCTGTCGTTGATGTACTTATAAGTCGCCCTCCGTCGTCATCCTGCACCGATATAGGTGCCTTGGCATCTATAACAGTATTTACAGCTACAAGCACTCATCCTTGGAACAGATACCCCGAAACGATAATGAGGGGATGACACAGCGAGCCAGTCCGCAAAATCACTGCTTGTCCTGGGGCTTCCCGAAAAAACTACAGGATCAGTATAAAATGGCTACGGAATGTGGAAAGGAACCGTCATATTATTTAAATTAGCAAGGTAACGATATAGGGTTGAGCTGTGCCCTGAAGAGTTAAATGAAGGCTATTTGAAGACCATAGACAAAAAGTAATTGGAAACAAGGCAGAGATTAAAAAAAAAATTATGGTTGGGCAGCAAGTTTGAGACGAAACATATGCTAGAAATCCTTGGTTTTCCAAAATAAGATTTGGATCCGTTCCTTTTGAATTCCCTCGGCCTATGTAAGTTTTCAAAATGTATTTTGACTTGCGTTATTATTATTCAAAAGATGACCTTAATGTCCGAAACCTGATATAAATATAAGGACGTGCCAAAAAAAAAAAAAAAAAAAACACATATCTCATAAAATATGATGGAAGTACAAGGGATCGGACGCTTATATCTCTTTTTATAAGAATTAAAATTATTAAAAATTTTGACCTGTTGTTGGGGAGGTACCAGTACAAATGGTCTGATATATTTTATCTTCACAACTGATTTTGTAGAGATATTGGGATGTACCGAGTTTGAAATGAATCGGATGCTTATTTAGCGTTTTATGAGCTTCATGGTTATTCAAAACTTCAATCCGTTGTGGGGAAGGTCCCAGAAGGAGTAGTCCCTTCTATCCGCTCTTCGTACTAGATCTTGCGTTTGTAGAAATATTGAGATGTGCGAAATTTTTATACAATCTGGCTCTTATTTCACAGTTTATTCAAATTGTTTACCTTTTGTGGGGGAGGTACTTGATGGAGTGGGTCAATATAGCCCATTTTCGCACTTGGTCTAGCACTGATACTAATATTGAGATTTGCAAAGTTTGAACATAATTGGATGGTATTTTCTTGTTCTATTAGGGACATTATTTTTTTGTGAAATTTTTTACTTTTTGTGTGGGAGGTAAAAGAAGGAGTGAACCGAAATTGCTCATCTCCGAATTCGATATAAGTTTGGAACAAATCGGATACTCCCGTCCAGAGACAGTGACAGGAACACCTCTCGATCGATTTTAAATATCCTGAAACGGATTTTGTTCAAAGAGACCTAGGGTCCAAAACCGTTATTTCGATGAGACACGTTTTGGCCGGTATAAAAAGACACTCCTTGTGGCTGGACATGTCCAGAATGGCCAAACTAGACGTGAAAAAATAACTAATGAACTAGGGGTTGCAAATATTGTATTGAAAGTACACACATATCGAAAAACGTAAATGTGAATTTTTTACATATTTTTCTGGTTCTGTATGATTGTGCAAGAAAAGAAAGAAAGCAAGAAACTTTTAACATCAATCGAGACAAAAAATAGAGGGCGCACAAAATTTCGGTTTTTAATTATGAGGTATCAATGGGTAACAGACCTTGTGAAAACGAAATCCTGTTGATATATAATTGTTTATGACATATACAATTTCCCATGCACTTAGTATTCGATCATCCAACACAATAAAGAATATGACTAAACTTTTCTTTTTTCCAAAAACAACATAAATCTTCAAAACAAAATGTCTGACACTTTCCTTTCTTTAAACACAATACGATATTCACAGACTGAGTCATTTATAATTATTATTAATAACTCATAACTTCCTTCAACTTTTAACAAGTGACATTAGTCTCGAGTAAAAGCACTCTCAACATGATTAATTCACATCCGAGAAAACTTTATCCAGACAGTAAAACAAAGAAAAAAAAATGAAAACTTACCTCATCACAGGCGGAGCAGCGTGGTTTCAAAGTTTCTGCGTGATGACGGCCACAATACAGGCGTCCATCTCGATGAAAGTAGATAAGATCGACAAGCAATTCACGGCAAACGCAGCACACGAAGCAACCTGGATGCCAGGAGGTATTGGGGCCCAAACGAGAAGCAAACACTGCCATGTCACCGGTGGAAATCAAATCGTCGCACTGAAATTAGATTTGCAAAACGAGACATTAAATTAATATTAAAATCGGAAAGTATATCATCTTGAGGCAAAACTGGGTGTTGTTTGCTTTTTTGCTATAAATTGCATGATACTTAGTGGAGGGGAAAAATGGCCCCTGACAAATTTCTAAGAAATTCAGGGAAAAAAGGAGGTAAAACTTTAACACTTGACCCCCTGCTAACTGTCAACATTTACTTTGTCTATTTGTTTGTGGCTGTTGTTCTTCCTACCAGCTTTTCTCAGCGCTCTTAATAACATTCCCACTTCGGATAAAGATAAACTTGAGAATGCCTTGCATTCACTCTTCGCCGCAGCGTCTGATGCAGCTGATGTCTTTGGAATCCCAGCTACCCACAATCATTCAATTACCCTCTAGTTAGCCAGGTCAAGTCATGTTGTAAGGTGTTCGTTTTTTTTTTTGTAGCAAACAAAGTCAAGTTGAGTTGAGTTAAGTTGCTTGGCTTCTATCCGTTGTTTGCAGGTTGCCTTTACACAATTGTCTTATGCCGGGCATTCTTAACGACATTCTCTTGGCCACTTGAAGTTTGTAGGTGGCTATGTACAATCAGTCCGAACACATGTCATGACACTTGGGTTAACAATTCGCTGACAGTTGCAACTTAAGCTGTTTGCTGCCACAATTAGTTGAGGTGATGGTGGGGGAGGAATGTGTCGTCGCCGTTCGCATAATTGTTACTGTCGTTAAACTACTCCCAAGTCATTAGCTAAGAATTAACTTTTAATTGTATTAAATATTTATGTATTGAATTTAGTTTTAGTTTATTAAATTCCGCGCTGGCCAACACATTTTCAAACATATACATGAATGTATATTTGTCGTTGTTTATGTTTAAGGGCATATCGAAAAAATGTAATTAAAGCACATGAAAGGCTTTTGCGAAAAGTCTCCAAACTTATAGTTTTGAAACTTGGAAGAATGGCGATTATGCAAATTTTTGTTCTCCTAAATAAAAAACTCTGTATAAAAATTGTAAATTATGGATTCTCTTGACCATCTAGGACTCCACTAATTTTATAATATCTCTCAATTTCGATTCCAACCACCAATTAGCAAATTGGGTGAAAACTGCACAAAAGCTGGACACATACCCTCAGCTATGTAGCTACAGAGGGTATATATCATTTGATACGGCCAAAAAGTGTTTTCTTTGGACCAAATTCGTTTCAAGACATTTGGAGTCTATCTAGGGGTATCCGTCGGTCCGTCTGTCTGGCTGGTGCGCACGATAACTCTCGAAGGGAGTATGGTGCATCGAAATATATCGAGTTCGGTGAAGGGCAAAATCGTTACATTTCTTCTGGCACCTCCCCAACAAAAGTCGAGATTAAAAAAAAAGTAGGATACCTCATAGAAAGAGAAAGGATCATTCGATTTTGTGCAAAATTTGCAAATTCTAATATTTTTATCAGTTTTAGGCCAGGTGTGAAAATTAACAATATCGGCAAACTACTTCAAGTACTTCCCCCATAAAGGGTCAAAATTTGGAATAATTATAAACCTTATAAAATGAAAAAAGAGTCCGATTATCTTTAAATTTAACACATACTAATACTTTGTTTTAACACAAAATCTGTCCACTCCTTCTGGTACCTCCCCCACAACCGGTCAAAATTTTGACAGCCATGAAGTTCTTTAAACACGACATGAGCATAGGAACATTTCAATATTTTTTTATCAACATTAAACCCTATGTGAAGATGGTATATCTAAATATTTTTTCAATGAAAGAACAGATCTCCCTCACAAAAGGTTAAAGCTATAATTAACAATTATTCCCAAAAAAATTGATTTTCTTCAAAATTTGCACATCCAAATATTTGTTATCACTATTAGATGAAGTTGAATGCTGTGATCCAATTTATTTAATACATCGCAAATATTTCAAAGGAGGTAGTCGATATAGTCCAAATCGGGTACGTTGTAATGTATATCAGAGTCAGTTCTGATGAGAAGATAATAAAGGTCCACTCCTTCGGTATATCCTCCATAAAGGATCAATAATTTAAATAATCATAATGTAAGCCAAAACATATTAAATGGAAAACATGGTCAAAACTAAAAACAAATACAAGTAAAGAAGCAGCGAAGCTTGGCCGGCCGATCTTTTTATACCATCCACCATTTGGAAGGAACTTAAAAAAAATCCCTCGAAAAATACCTCTCAAATGAAAACCTTTATATGTGGGCTATACGAAGACATGGTGTAGTAACGATTCCGAACTTCAAATACGAATAATTCCGGTGAATAATGTCGCTAATATCATCAAAATACCGAATAAAGTTATGTACCGTTGTATGGGGGCTATATTAAGACGTCGCCTGCATAGACAATTTTCCGTCATAGGTTCATTCGGGTGAATAATGTCGCAAAAATTCTGGAAATACCGAATATCTCGGGGTACCGTTACATGGGTGACATACTAAAACGTAGACCTATGTAGAAAATTCTCTTTCAGGGGGTAAAGTACTCAGAAGGAACCCCATGCGTATATTTTAAGCCAATTCCATTGAAAAAATGTGACTAAAATCATCAAAATACCGAATATCGGGGGCCACCATTGTATGGGTGCTATATCGTGTACCTATATAAATAATTCTCTTTCAGGGGTAAAGCACTTATTTTTCAGGAGGTAAAGTAGTCACGAGGAGCTCCTTGTGTAGAATTTCACATTAAAGCCGAGTAGAACTTATAATAATCTCCACCATTTGGAAAGAATTTGCAAATTTCCAAAAAACAAAAACATATTCTGTTAGAGATGGTATTACCCTTTAGGAATTCAAATACGAATTCCGATGCATAACGTCGCTAAAATCATTAAAATACGGAACATATGGTGTATCATTATATGAGTTATAGTAAGACCTGGGCCTGCATATGCAATTTTCTAGCATAGGCTGTAACATGGCTCAATTACAGAAAGTAGAACAAAGCTACCCCTAAATACAATTTTTTCTTCTGGTGCCCCTATTATGTCATCACATATACACAGTTTGTATATGTGTGGGTATTGTTTTGAATAAAAATAAAATAATTTGAAATTATTTCAAATTCAGTTGCAACAAAAATGCATATTTTCAACGTTAATGGGAAACAAATTGCAAAATTTTGGGAGAAAATGTCATTGTATCTTCTATTCAATTTTGTGGAAGAGCCCCGAAATTGCGTTTCTCCAATATGAGAATTTGGTTAAAATATAAAATACTTAGATGTCTATTTGACAATATATGGCTCCGGTACGTAATTGCATTGAGCCATGGTCTGTAGTACCTTTGAATCAATTCCGGCGGATAATGTCGTTAAAATCAACCAAAATACTGAATATAGGGAGAGTCCGTTATATGGGGTTATATGAAGGCGTAGGCCTGTTTGGACAATTTTCTGTACAAATTTGAAACATTTCCGGTGAAAAGTGTGACACAAATCATCAAATTACCGAATATCTGGAAGTACTGTCTTATGAGGACTATACCAAAACTTAGACCTACATTGATAGTTCTATGATAGGATGTTTGTTACATAATTGCAATGTATGGAAACGTATTAGAATTTTATGCAGATCAGGAATATATACATTTTGTGGGGTCTAAAATGTATATTTCGAGGTGTTCCAAATGGAATGACCTTCCATACTATAAACAATATTTGGATATCTTAAATAAAAAATGTTCATCGCCAACAATAATCTGTTTATGGGCAACTTGACTTCAATCCCTTCTAACAGTAAATTAGGATTCCTGTGCTAGCCTCCACCTTAGGTTGTCCTTCGTGTTTTTTCTACATATGTTCTCATATATTTATCAGTATACTAGCTGGCCCGGTCCGCGTTGCCGGCTCGTACTTTTAGTCTTTAATGATTATTTTTTAAAGCATAATATATCACAGATCTGACTCATCTAATAAAAAGTAATGACTGCATAGTAATTTCTAAATAGTAACAAATATTCATGGCAAAAATTATTATAGATGTTCACCTACCGTCGGTGTTACATATTTTGAATAGCCTGATCCTATTTTTCAGCCATAGGCTTTAATTTGAGTGTTAAAAACCTTTATGATAAAGAACGTCTATAATAACCCCATGTGAAAACTCAGCTCAATTAAAATGAGCTGTAATTTGGAATTTTTATTTCCAACGTTTAGAATACCGTGTTGAGTGGTATTTATTGTCCACCTCATAATTGAGGGCAGAATGATTTCAGAATAGTCAAAGATAATTAGTCTTTTACACCCATTATCGAAAGATGGGAATTAATTTTTTGATGATGATGGTTTCTTCTCAAATTACCAACATTTGCCGAAATCAGTATGAAAAATATGGTTAAAATGTAAAGTATACTTGAAATCTGGTTGTACTTTTATCTGGGGCTATGACCCAAATCATGACCTGCAAAAGCAATCTAAGGTATTTTGAAAGTTTAGGAAGAAATTCTTTTCTTACTAAATGTCCAATTCGCTTTATATTCGGTATTTCACTGATTGCAGTCCCAATGAATTTAGCATTTTGAGTTCTCTTTGAACGGATTATTGTCATGTGAAAGAAGTAAGTCTACGTTTTGAAATGAGCCCCATAACGCTTTGTAGGTCATCATTGTTTGTTTAAATGTGTTCGCATTTACCAGCTTAAGCACGATGTAGGTCATGGAGTTGAAAGCTATAAGCCAATTTTAGGCATGAAAGATTGCCATTAGTATCGTATTGCATACCATCCGAAATTGTATGAATTCTTAAAATCCGTCACCCCGTTCTTGAGTTATAAGCGTAGTAACTGACATGATTTTCTTATATATGGTGAAAATAATTCTTTATTTTTTCACAAAAAAAAGATCGAATTCAGTATCTTAAGCTCAATTGAAAAAAATCGTACATTATATAAAATTGACAAAAAAAAAGAAAAGCCAATTGAAAAAAATACAAAAATCTTCAACTGGTACTATTATTTTGAAATTCGATTCCATTAAACAATTTTTCATTTTTCTTTCCCGATTTTAGTATTCTTGCAATGAGATGGCCTTTTTCGTGATTTTTTTTTAGCGATTTTAAAAAAGTAATTAAAATATTTTTGTTCTTAGCTTATATCTATAAATAGCAGTTTTGTCCGTTTTCGCTTTATACTTCCCGAAAATACTACACATAATATTAGAATTAAAAAAAAAAAAAAACACTACAAATATACTTTCGAAAATTGTAAATAAAATTGTAAAAAATGGAAAAAAATTATGCAAAATAAAACACTACTATTGTACATTTCAAAAGTCAAAATGAAAATACTCAAATTTCACATTTTTACGCGATTTCTTTTGGATTTTATCCTTTTCCGCCAAGGGACATTTCGGAATTTGACTTAATCGTTAAATTCAGATCAGCGGTTCTTAAATTATAAGCGTAGTTACTAACACAACTTTCTTATATATAGATATATTTACATTAAAAAGTAGACGAGGTTAGTTCTTCAGCACCAAAATATATATTTAGGTTTGGATGATAAGTCAGCAGTATCTCGTGTAATAATTTTCAAACCGATATCTTCATTATCTGGCAAATATAAGGATTTTAGATAAATCTAAATAGAGGGCTTAAAAGTAGGCGTGGTCAATATTTTTTTCTTTAAAAACCTAACTCGGGATGTGACTAAAGTTTGTACAAAAAAATATGCAAATCGGTCCAGCCGTTCTCAACTGATTCCATTACCAACAAACAACAATTGATTTTTTATGTATAGAAGATTGATTTAATGAAAAAGTTGTTTCTAAAAATTTCTGTCCCTGCTCAAATTTCTTCGGATCGAATTTAAATAAAGGCCTACATGCGACTTCTTGGTCACAAAAATCATTCAATGGTGGCAGGCTTAGGAACTGTACATCATCAAGAACAGGAACTTCAGCTATACATATTTTTAATGGTTTTATGTAGTTTGTATTATGTTTGAAATTTCCTGGACCTCTGACGTTGAAGCGATAATTTTTCCGCCAATCAGAAGATGTTTACTCTGATTTGCCAATAGAATATTGAACCTCATATTAGTTTGTAAAAATTAATATGGTCTTAATATAGGCGTATATGAACTTTTTTACACCCCTTAAATTTGTTTCTTCATAAGCTTTTTTAAGAATATTGGCGACATATCTTACATTCATTACATTCTTACATTCCCTCATCAAATTTATTCCGAATATTTACAACTGTAATCCTCCAACTTGTTCCATTTTCAATTAGCCTAGTCTAGAATTTTCTTATTTACAATCTATACCGAACATAAAAATTAAATACCAATTTCATTTCAGCATACTTTGCAATTTTTACACCATCTCTGTAAATTGCTTAACGGAATGGTGTGCCACTTTTCTTGCATTTCTTTCTACAAAATTGACCTTCTCCCACTATCAGCGTCCATGGAAAATGCAAAAATTACAAACTAATTTCATGGCAGCTTAAAAGGTGGGAGAACGCTGAAATTTAATCTTAAATCGATAAATATCTATTTACTTACCCCGTCGCAGGGACGTGCACTCATCAGAGGTCTGACATTGCCACGTCCAAGTGCATCACGTTTACGTTGTGTGGAGAATAGGCGAAGTTCTTTGCGTTCCTCATCCGTCAGAGAGTGACAGTAACGAACCTGAAATGACAGAGAGACAGACAATGAAATAAAGTACAAAGGCAATGATGAAAACTTTCAGACCAAACAATAGCAAAAAAAAGATGGTCTTCAAACAAGGCCATCAACTGTTAAATAATAAATGCCAGTTAAATGTTTTGAATAGCAACTGTAACGGCAGCAGTAGTAACAACAGCAGCAACAACTTTTGATCGTAGGAAAATAAACAATCATTGGACGGAGTGTTCCCCCCGAAAAAAAGAGAAAAAAAAAAACAACAAACATTGCCAACTAAAATCCAAATCATTGGCCAGCGGTAGAAGTTCGGTACCGACCATCTTCATTTATGAATTTGCTAAGACCACAACTATTTTGACTGCATGCATATATCAAAATAAGCCAAAATATAAATAGACCAGAAGGAACAAAACCGAACGTTTGGCAAAATGTCTATCAACTACTGGGGTCATAAAATGAAGGGACAAGAAAAAAAAACTGATGTTCCTTTTTTAAGCTATGAACACGTTTATGCACCATGATGTGTGCACTACGGTCTGAACCCTACATTATGTTTGGATGTTGTGTTGATATTTGTTTTTGTAATAGAATTGATAAATAATATCAAGGTCTCAAAGTCTACTTTTAATAATCTTATATTTATAGTTTTAAAGGGTAGGTAGTTGTTACGAAAATAAATTAACTCACTTTAAATATTATACTATTTCCACCAATTTCGGGTTTAGTTTTATCAATTTTTACGCATTTTTATATGGTTGCCTAGCTTTGACTAGATTTCAATTTTTTGTGAGTCTTCCTGTCTAGGATTTTAATGGACTTCTTGGTAACCAATTGTGTATATTTTTATACTCAGCCTTATGACTACATTGGGTATACAGGGTTGCCCATATTCGACGGAACTTTGGGCCCTTTGGGCCCATTCCAATCGACGAGGCTTGTCCGCAGGCAACATTCTTTGTGTCAATTGAATTTTGTACGGGAACAAATGCAAATCAATGCTAATAATCCGTTGTAAAGTGGACCGAGCAATACCCAACTGCTGAGAATGGCGTTTTTGGGATGTTCTTGGGGACCTCTCAACACTGGCTCGTACGGCAGCGATATTCTCGGCCGATCGCCTTGGTCGACTTTTATATGGCCTCTTCGGATTAGAAAGAGCCTTAGCAGTCGAAAATTTTTCGTATAAACGCTTAATGGTGTTCTTAGAAGGCGCACTTCTCACATGTTTTAATGTTTTAAAAGCACGTTGAGTTTTCACAATTGACTTCTTCTGTTGAATGTAAATTTCAGAGCGCTCGCGTGGCGTGTATTGGTTCATGGTAAAAATCTGCTTGGACTGACGCTTCAAACGCGGTATTTCAATAAGCGATGTGACATCTCTGTCAAAAGTTATGGCGTTGCCAGATGGGTCCGTCGAATATAGGCAACCCTGTATATCACTTGACACGGTCAACAGCAGCTTTAGACTCTACGTCTTTTTGGACGAAATCCATTTTATGGTAGTTGGAGTCAACATAGTCATGTCCGTCTGTCATCCCGTCCTTTTTTACGTTTTCTGTGCACCAAATACGTAATATATTTTCCAATATATCTCAAACTATTGGGGTCCCTTTTGTACATTTCCAAACCTATACAAGGGTCAATTGGTTTAGGAACCCAGAATTCCTTTGGGTTTTGACATTAAAAAGAATGCTATCAAGTCCACTTGGCATTTCCATGAACCAGACTGGCTATTATACATAGAAATTATACGAAACCAGTAAAGAAAGTCCTAAAGTCGGGTGGGGCCGATTTGCTAATTTAGTTGAGCTCCACATAACAATTAAAAGTTTTTATGGGAGAATTCAATCATAAACTCTATGATTATAATTATAATTTAAATTTCGAAGGGCTATATATGCCGAAGCATTTGTATCTTTTAAATTCGGACTTGTATATATGGGAGCCGATGTTGATAAATAATGCTGTGTTGGAGATTTTTGCTCGAATTCACAAAAAGTACGCCTTTAAACCTAAAATGTGTTTTTATACCCTCCACCATACATTTTATGGAGGGTATATTAAGTTCGCCATTTCGTTTGGAACTTATCGAAATTATCATTTTAGACCTAACAAAGAAGATACAGGGTGAGATGAAAAAATTGCAACCAACTTCAGTCTGTTGTCATTACTAAGCCACTCATCTGACAGCTGTTAAAATTATGCCAGTGACAGCTCATTATATTGTTTAGAAGCATACAAAAGCACTTTGGTGATAATTTTCCAGAAAAAAAGTTATTTCTGATTCGTAATTCGTGAAGTGGCTATCGTTAGAGCACTCCAGCATTTCTATGCGAATAAATCTTTTGTGTCTCGTACCATCGCTCGTTACCGTGATTCTGGTAGCGTAGCCCGACGACAAGGAAGTGGACGGAAAAAAACAGCAACATAAGCAGAAATGGTTCGAAAAGTAAAGAAGCGACTTGATCGAAACCCGCGTCGCAGTGGCAGAAGAATGAACCGTGAGCTGAACATATCGCAATATTCCGTTCGGCAAATATTGAAAAATGAGTTGGAAATAAAGCCATTGAAATTCTAAAAAATAAGGAACTTACACCGCAGCAGAAAGAAAATAGACCCAAAAGAGCTAAAGAGTTGCTTGACCGAAAGTGGTAAACTTCCGAATTTGGTTTTCTCCGATGAGAAAACATTCGTTGTCCAGCAGTTCGTAAACAAACAAAATTATCGTGTTTACTTGTCAATGAGGTCAGCTGAAAATGTGCAACTTCAAGCGCCGGCCATTGTGATGGTGTGGGCCGCCATAACAGCCTATGATCGCTCTCTATTCGTAGTAATCGACCGTGGCATCAGAATAAATGCCGAATATTATCGCGAAAATAGTCTGGAGTGTGTATTAAAGCCTTGGCCACGCAAATATTTTGGCCGCAGACCTTGGACATTCCACCAGGACTCAGCACCACCGCGCTCAGCACGCGACACCCTAGAATGGTTAGAAAATGAGGTTCCTCGCTTCATTTTCAGCGCACAATGGCCACCAAAATCTTCGGATACCAATCCGTTGGATTATTGTGTTTGGAGTATTTTGGAAAGCAAGGTTGACACTAAAAAATAGCAAAGTGTCGATCACTTCAAGCAAGCGCTTCGCCCGGAATGGACCAAAATACCGCAGAGCAACATTCGGGCGGCGTGTGACGGTTTCATTGGCCGTTTGAAGGCCACAATTCGTGCCAAAGGTGACCAATTCGAACAAATCGAAACTTATTCTTAAAATTGATGTTATTCCGACATTTTTTGCTTTCATTCAATAAAATTTAAAAAAAGTAAAAATTATGGCGTTTGACGTTGTTGCAGTTTTTTTATGTCACCCTGTATAGTCTTGATCAGCGTAAAATTCTGAGACGATTTATAACTACCCGTCCGTCTGTCTGTATGTTGCAATCACACTAGAGTCAAAACGAATTAAGATAGGAAGCAGGCAGGTCAAGTTCGAAGATGGGCTATATCGGTCCACGATATTGTATAGCCCCCATATAACTGTACCCCACCCCCGATATTCGGTATGTTGATGATTGTAGCCAAAATTTTCAATGAAATTGTCTGAGAATCTACCCAACAAGTTCTTTATAACCACTTACTACTACTATTACTTTAATAATCTGCTCGATTTTCCCCTTATTGTTTTTTGTGTAGCACAGTGTTATCATAATATTCATTACATAAAGTCATTCGCAAGTTATTTTCAAACATCTCGTATGCAATATTTTTACTAACATTTGATCTAATGTAAAGTTGGTCTTTTGCAAGTCTCTTTTAACAAGAAGTCCAATGCCGCCCTGGATTTTTAGAGAACTTCCCGACAACATAATTGTTGGTACGATGTTATTTAAAATTTAAAACGATAATTATATATTTTTTTGCCAAATATTAAAAATTCTTCAAATCTCTCTGTTGTTAACCAACATGGATAGTCGAAAGGTCTTTATAATTATTAAAATTATATTTTGGAAATGATCGTTCTCCCATAGGTTTAACAATGCCAAATATATTCTTTTAACATTTTTCAATTTAATATATGGTTCTGGAATTTCCAAAATTCAATATATGATAAAGTTTCCCAGTTGAAAGTTATGCCGTTGTCCAATGGTATCATCACATGTTATAAAATAGCATACATTATGGCCGTCCTAAGCGTCCCACCATATTAATAATAGTGGTAAACTTCTGGTGTTCTCTGTTGCCATGACCATGTTCTGGGGGTAATATGATATGGTTAAAACGTTAGATGTTGGGCCAACAATGAATGCTGCCATTGTTGTTGCTGTTGTCTTGGGATGTTGTTTTTCACGGAGACGGTTCGACGACGATGACGACGACGACGACTGCATTTGAGTGTTAGTTTTCAAATTCTTGCCTTTGGTATGGCGAGACCAAACAAAAAAACAGTAGCCGTCATACCAAACAAACATAAACATTTTGGCCAAAGTCTCTATCGTCGTCAGTTAGATTTAAATGTGTCCGAACGTATTTGAGTTGTATGCAAATACTATCACATACACAACCCTGTAACCAACAATGGACCTTAGGTAGACAGACAAACAGACAGACAGGAGATATCATACCGAAAAGCTCATGCATTCTATGGTGCCTACACTCATGGCCTCCAGGCCATGCAATGCCACTCATTGAGTACCACTCGAAGCATTTCCAGCACACACACTTGGATACTTATATGGTGTTTATAGTTTTAACCCCAAAGCCTATGATTTGTTCGTCGCCACTGGTACCCCACCAAAAAGGCCCAAACAGCAATAACAACATGCATCCATACATGTGGTTATCTGGCCAAGATATGTTGCCTGGACGCTCACAATGGTCGTTTTGTTTTGATATTTTGAACATTTTACACTTTGGTTGGCTTTTTCTCTCTGAATTTCTTTATTTCATTATTATGGCTATAGATTTTGGTCATTCTTCCTGTTTGTAAGCGTTGCACCGTGTATTCA